ATGTGAAACTCTACTGTTTCCTACTAGGATTGATAAACTGATAGTATGGAATGGGTATATGTTACTAGAAGCCTTCTAGCCATTAGGATGAGATTCTGGATCCACCACTTCTAGAAGTCAGGTGTCCATATTTATTTTTTTTCAGTACACAGTCAAACCTAGGTTCTCAAATGTCTTTCATCTGAAAAAATTCAGTTCTCAACCTGTATGATCAGTCACACATTTCTCAGGTGACAAAGGAAAGACTGCATGACTATGAGTCAGTTTACCACTAAACCTCACGTTGGTAACATCTCAGAAAATTGTGCTGTGAATATTTACATATTTTTTTGCTTTTGTTGCTGCTTATTATTTAATATGTACAGTAAGTCACCATGGGACCTAAGAAGGTTAGTGATAGCAGCAAAGTGAAAAGGAAATTTATGAGAACAATGATAGAGCGTAAGAAAGAAATGATTGTAAAGTATGATAGAGGTGTTTGCATGCCTGATCTGGCTACCAAGTATGGCATGGTAAAATCGACGATTAGCACAATTTTGAAACATAAAAGAGGCCATCGAGAGTGCTGATGTTGCAGTGATATGTGAAAAAGCAAAGGTGCTGCACACTGATCTCCTGAAAGACACCCCTGGAATGCGTGTTCAGAGTGATTCGTTTAAGACTAGTAGGGGGTAGTTTTTTGTTTTGTTTTTTAAATATTTTTATTGATTTAAGAGAGGAAGGAAGAGAGAGAGATAGAAAGATCCATGATGAGAGAGAATCATGGATTGGCTGCCCGCTGCAAGTTCCCCACTGGGGATAGAGCCCACAACCTGGGCATGTGCCCTTGACTGGAATCGAACCTGAGACCTTTCCGTTCGCAGGCCAACGCTCTATCCACTGAGCAAAACTGGCCAGGGCATTAGGGGGTAGTTTGATAAATTTAAGAAAAGAAGTGGCATTCAATGTGTAGTGAGAGAAGGGGATGCTGCCAGTTCTAACAAAGGTGCTGATAATGCCATGGGCGTCTGGAACATTATTTATAATGGGGAAAAAAAGATTCAGTCTTCTAATAGATTGCTTCTTGAACAGCCTTCCAGAACGAATTAAGTTCAAGAACCAAGGTCCCACTGTATAAGCCAATAAAATACCTCTTTAATTTAGTTTATTTTGAGTTGTATTTTCTAATCTCTTGCAATCATTTTCAGAAATTGAAAAAACATGTGCTACTGCACAAACTATGGGTGGATGGAATGCCATTTGTTTTCTGGGACTGTACAATTTATTACACTCCTTTTTCTGAACCTTAGGTCAACAAGTGCCAAGGCATCTAGACAACAGCACTTCCACAAACAATGCATACTTGATCATAAAGTTAAGTTGGCCAGTAAGAAAACTGAGATATTTATGGGCCATATGGCTCGAAGCTCATGCATCAAGTCAAACATGGCACCAAGACTGGAACCCAACTCTTTACTAAATGCAAGAATTCCTCAGTTTGGATCAGTGGACCTCACAGATCATTTAGTCTTATGGACCCAAATATGAGTCCATGGTCTGGGATCTGTTGCCAGAGTGTGGCCAATCACCAACAGTCCACAGAATTATGAGAAAAATAAAGACTTTCTAATAGGTTTTAATGGAGCTATTTCATTTCATTTTGTAATTCTGAGATTTCATCCTTCCGGGTTTTTTAGTGTTAACATGTTCTCTTTTGTGAAATGATAGCAATTGTAGATGTGAATAATCTTTTTTGGTGAATATAAAGTAGGCATGGCCACCCTACCCCCAGTCACCCAGTTTGCTCCCAATACTCCCAGTTTTAACACTGAAAGCTGCACTGCGTTCCTCCTCATACCTCTCCCTGCTCTTTCTCAATGCACCCCTATGGGCTGCTCTCCACCTCTGGAGATGTTCTTCTTGGGAACTCCTTTGTGTTTCATAATAGAGATTGGAGTGGCTTTTCTCTGGCTTCCCCATTCTGAATCTCCTCCTAATACTCTGCTCAGCACCTCCTTAATTCAGATGCCAAAAGAAGCTCTCCTTATTCTTCAGAAGATGGGAAAGGGGGATATTAAAAGTACTTGTAAATTAAGATTTGTTGATCTCAAACAAGCAAAACCTAAATACCCTACAACAAAGAAGTGACTAAATTCCCCTCTATGGGAAAATTATATACAGTCGATAAAACTGTGGTTATGAAGAGATTGTAATAATTTGGGGAATTGCTTATAAAATTAAGTAAAAAGATATGTAACTATGGAAATACAATATATAAAAATGTCCATGCATGAATAAACTACAACATTGTCCACACAGATTTAGCTGCACAGTGGGGTTATAGGTAATACCTATTTTTGCCTTTACAGAAATCTGTTATCCATATTTTCCACAATGGAAACACATAAATTTTAAATGTAGAACAACATATCCATTAAATTTAGTTTCCCTTATTTAGGCAGCCAATATTTACTGATTACCCATTCTATAAAGCCAAGACCAACACTCTTTCATGATACTTCCCTTTGCAAGACAAGATTTGCCAAGGATCTAGAGTCTAGATTCTAGACAATATTGCCATTACTTTATTCTTGACAGTGAGTATAACTTGTACTAAGCCAAACAGCCAATTCTCTTAAAGCCATCCTTAATGTCTAATGACCAATACTGTACCTGAACTATCTCTCTTCCCAAACACATCTGACCTTAACCTGTTTGGACTAAGAGCATGCCCGTTTGGGGAACTTACTGGACAGAATCCCATGCCCAATGGCTAGCCTAGTACAAACCAACACAGAGAAATCAAGGAGTTAGTCACACAGAGTTAGCACAAGAAATCAAAGTCAGGTAGAAATCCCAGCAGGGCACTACACAATTTATCTTTCCCTAGTGAGGCCCACTCTAGAATAATGGAAAACTTCACTGTTGTCAAAATGTCAAAACTGAATTCTCTGAATACCGGGCTTTCCTGAAATCAACAGTTAGGTCCTGACAAGTTCCCAATTCATCCTCATTAACTGAATCAAACAACCAGCATGCTGTTTGGGGGGTGGTTTTATGTGGCATCTGAAACTCAAGATGACAAAGGGTGATATCACTTCTTAAGCCTCATGTAATTAACCAAGTCAGAAAAGGCTATAGTAAGATGCAAGGAAACATTAATATACATTCGTTCCAAATGGTATTATTTCAAATGGATATTACCATACACTTTCCCCCTTATGACTAACCACACAGATGGCGTATTTCAACAGAGATCCCATTTTTTCCAAAACAAAGAAAGATACTCAAGTCTGCCTCAGGGACACAAACAATTATGGTATCTACAGGAGGGAAGGAGCACATGAAGTCAGGATCCCTGATACTCAAGCCCTGTTGCTTGGCAAAAATTTCTAAGACTTAAGGTGTTATGCCCAGATTTCAGGATCCCCAAGAAACCACACCAGGAGCCAGCCAGGTCCGATGCAAAAGCATAAGAGTCTTTATTCGAGCTAGCTCGGCTCCCCCACCTTGCCGACACAGCAGCAGGAAGCAGAGAGAGAGCGAACTCTGTGTGGAGAGAGGTTTTATAGGGGGGTTGGAGTAAGGGGAGGAGAAAGGACTGTGGGCCCTGCCGATTGGCCAGGCGCAAGTCGGTGTCTTGTTACACAGGATGTGGTCATATCAATGGCGACTTCCCTTGATTGTCATTGGTTAGTTTAAAGAAGTCCTGGGTGTGGCTAGCAGAGGCTTAGACTTCCGGGAAGAAGCTCCTTGCCAAGCACATGGCTGCCCCAAAATGGAGGACACAGGGTAAGATGGAGGGCGTAGTCCTCGCCCTTTCAAAGGCTTTGGGGATTTTAATGTTGTTAAACTTTTTATTTAGAAAAATATTCAAAACAATAGAAAACTTGTAAGAATCATATCATGAACTTCCATATACCATTCCCTAGATTTATTAATTGCTACTACTTTGCTATATTTATTTTATCGTGTCTCCCCATCAACTCCTCCCCCCGCAAAACACACACACACACACACACACACACACACACACACACCAGAAAAATAGATTTTTGCTAACCATTTTTGTGTAAGTGCTGAAAGGGACCAGAATATGATCCCAGATTATCACTCCAAAATGACATGTTTGGCACCCACTTTGATAGAAGGATTAATTTGAACTAAAGGCAACTGAACCAGCAAACACAGAAAAGCTCTTTACCTCCCTCTAACTGTCAAAAAATAAAGTGTAAATTTCCTATTTTGTAAAGAGAATTTTCATTCATAAAGGACATTTCCATTGTAAAGATGTCTCCTTACCTGGAAGAGAGCTATTCCTGGAGACCACTCTTATCACCAGAGAGACGTTTATCTGTATAACCAGACAACATTACTTATCAGACATTTCCTAGCCATTCAAACCTAGGAGGGTAAGAGGGAAACACCTTTCTTCCCCTAGAGTATGATATCAAAATATTCTAAGAATAAGGACAATTGCTCATATAATCACAATGAAATGATCAAATTTAGAGACTGTTAACATTTTTAAAATACTATCTTAATATAGTTCATGTTTACATTTCTTCATTCCCAAGAAATCCTATATGGCCATTTTCCCCCAATCCAGGATCTTGCTTTTAGTTGTCATGTCTCTTTAGTCTTCTTGAACCTGGAATAGCTCCTCAGTCTTCCTTTGCCTATCATGTCATTGATATTTTGGTTTATGCTGATCTGAATACTTCCTTAGGATTAGGTTCACATTACACATTACACATTTTTGAAAGAGATACTACTGAGGTGATTTTATGTCCTTATCGCATTATATTATTGGTAATGTTAACTTTGATCCTTGATCCTTTGAATAAAATGGTGTGTGTGTGTGTGTGTGTGTGTGTGTGTGTGTGTGTGTGTGTGTTTTGTGTGTATTGATGGGGGAAACGACACCTTAGCACACTGAATATCTTAAGCTGAAGGAGTCTGAGAAAACGGCAGAAGCAGGAATGTCATTCTGATCTTTCGCCTGGCTTTCTCCTCTGAAGCAGGTCATAAAACCCTCATGTGAGAGGTGCCTCCCTTATACCTGGAGGGAAGGAGCATCGCTATCTCTGAAGATAAAAGGCTGCTAAGGAGAATCCTAACAAACAGGCCTTGGTGAGTTCCCCCCAGCTAACTACACTTACCTTGTGTTCTTTGATCTATCATATTTCTACATGACTGTCTACTCTTCATCAAAGCTAGCATAAAAATACTCAGTCTGTTTCTTTGGGTCTTTATTTCCTTATGAAGGCTCCAGGTCATATAAAACTTATCTATATATATGAAAGCCTAAGCGATTGGCCGATAGGCCGACCAGCTGGTAGCTATGATGCGCACTGACCACCATGGGGCAGACACTCAATGCAGGAGCTGCTGAGTGACAGCAACTTTGCAGAGTGCCTTCTCGCACACCAGAACCCCTCGGGGGATGTTGGACTGCTGGTTTTAGCCCAATCCTCACAGGCCACACCGAGAGACCCCACCGGTGCACGAATCTGTGCTCTGTGCCTCTAGTATTAAATAAATTTGCATGATTTTCTTCTGTTAATCCATTTTAATTTTCAAACCCAGCTAGGGACTCCAAATGGGTCAAGAAAATTTTTTTTCTCTCCTACAGTATAAATAGATATAATATATAATGTGTGGGGTGATATCTTAAAATTGCAAATAAAATTCTGTCCCTCCAAAATTTCACTCAGTGTTTTTGTCACCTACTAATGATTCTAGTCTGAATTAACTACTACTATAGTAGTTACATAATAGTGATTTCTAATTCCATCATTTCCTTCACACATATTAGTTGGTATTCTACTGTAAGAGGAGCTTCCCTTTCTCCCTCCCCTCTTTATTTATTTTTTTGTTTAAGTATAGCTTACCCATTTGATTCTTAAATGCCCTGTTTCAAGCCTGCTCCTGGGTCATTCAGACATGCCCTCATCAATTTTTTTTAGCATCTTCTTAGTTGATGGCACCACAAAATGTTCCAGGATTTTCTTTTACTATCTCTACTCTAGACCTAGAGTCAGCCATTTCTCCATGGGGCCTTGGTTACTTTCACTGGGTAATGGTGTTTAGAAACCAAGAGCCGGGAACTAAGTGTGCTCATTTCTGTTGGTAGTGCCACTGCTTGTAGGACCTTTCAGAGAGCAGAACTAAAAATTATAAACATATAAAAATTATAAGCATATATTGAAATCCTGTATTCATGTTGACACTTCTAATCTCAAATGCAATAGTTCAGCGTTCTTCTTTACCTTCCCTCATTCTATACTTGTATTACTCTTCTTCCACAGTGATATCGTTGGTTCCCACCCAAAAAATATTTTTACTCAATCCTACAATACATAAAAAATAATTTCAGAATTGCTCTATCAATACCACTATAACAGCAAATGTATAAAGTTCAAGACTTCTTTCCCGTTCTTTTGTCTTTAGACTGGAGGTATAAACTCAAGGTACTATGTGCAAGATAACTTGCATTAGTATTTTTCCCCTTATGTGAGATCATTTCACCCTATGAATATATATTTAGGTTCATTTACTTCTGTTTTTATTTAATACCCCCCTCCCCTGGATCTTGTAAATTAATTCTATTTTTTTAGTATACAAAATATTAACCTGGTTTGAAAGTCAAACTTTTTTAAAAAGTATATCCAGAGTGGTATCACTCCTTCCCAAATTTTCCAATCTCACCCCCACCCTATTTATTGCCAATTTCATTTCTTTAGTTTATTGTTCCTGTGTTTCCTTTGCAAAAATAATCAGAGATATCGCTAGATAGACAGACATGCATATTTATTTCTCTTCTTTCTTACATAAAATGTTGTATATTACATATACTCTTCTGCTCTTTACATTAACAATATCTCTAGAAATCACTCCATATCAATTCATAAGACTCTTCCTCATTCTACTTTATAGCACGCAACTCTGTGTGTTATACCATGATTCATTCAAATAATCTATATACAGACATTTAGGATGTTCCCAATATTTCATAGGTACAAATAATGATGCATAGTTCTTACTGTGAGTAAAGTTGAATATACTTTCATATGCTTAAAGGAGTACTGGTATTTTTATATCAAGTTTTGTGAATTGTCTAGGTTGTTGTTGTTTTTACCACTTTTCTATTGGATTTTTGGCCTTTTTTTTTTCTCTGCAATTTGTCATAACTCTTTATATTAGGAATGTTAGCTCTTTATCAGTAATATATTTTTATAAATATTTTTTCCCAGCTTATTGCTTATGGTTTGACTTTATGTTCTAGCCATTCAAAAGAAAATGTTTAATTATAATTTTCCACAATCAAGTTTTATTATATCTGGAGTTTGAATTATGGAAGGTCTTCCTTGCAGCCAGGTTATAAAAGAATTCCAAGTATTGGCTAAATGTATATGTCCCTTGCTATACTATACATGGGCATGTGTGTAGGAATAAATACTATTTTTCTACTGACCTCTGGGCAATTTCAAAGATGCATGAACATTAAGTTATTCTGTAGCCCATTCATCTCTTAGGGTTCAACTTTGATTTTCTCTAACCCAAGTTTCCTCAGCAAGCCAGACCTAAATTACTAAAAAAGGCACTCATAACCACAGGAATCTTTCCCTAGAGCAAATAATAATTTGTAGTGCAAATTTATTTTATAATCACATGCTTTTGTAAAGCAAAGATTACCTGTATTATATTTTATTGTCCCTCATTGATGGGCCATTTTCTCATATTATTTTAATTATCACATAATCCATGTTTATTTCTTTAAAAATAAAAGTTACGTAAAAATAAAAAAATTGAAACAATATTTTAGGACATATTAATATATCAATATATACTTATTAAAAACTCCCTTTCCAATAAGGCTCTACTTACTATATTTCCTGTTTTGTTCCCATTCTCACTAAATATAAAAATCTTTCCATATTATTGAGTCATCTATAACAGCATTTTAAAAAGCAACATGATATTCCACTCTATAAAGGCAGAACATATTTAAACAAGTATTGCGTACTTAGGATATTTGGTTTTTCTTTTTAATATCATAAACAGCTCTGTGATAAAAAAATACTTAAAGATATACACCATTGTGAACATGTCCAAATATTTTTTTAGGATAAATATATAGACATGGAATTGTTAGATTGAATAGTACACAATATTTTCTGTATGCACAGCTCAGTTTCCACCAGCAGTGACTGAAAATAACTGTTCCCTTCACTCACATCCCACCTACTTGCTGTTATCATTTTTCTAATCCTTTTTTATCTCTTGATGTCTTAACACAAGACTACTCAATAGTATAAAGCTCTGCAACAGCACAAAAAGCAAGCAAATTTAGAACAAAACATTACTGATGCATGTCTACAAATACTGTAAAACTCCTCCCAGACTCTAAACAATCAATTGAAACATCTGAGAAACCACTTCATTAAAAGATGAAGGGTTTTTTTTATTCTGCCTGCACAGCTCAATAGTAAGACCTTAAAAATCTAGTGCAACTTCCTTCATTTAGGAGCAGCCCAAGCTTGGTTCTGGTTATAAATAAAAAGAAAGATTCCTAGACAAGAAGCATAGACCTAAGGAAGTTGTGGGAAGAAACTTATGTGAAAGGTTCTCCCATCAGAGTTGTACTAATTAAAACTCCATGATAACTCTCCCTTGTCACTTACTGACTGAATGTATTTGCCTTAGAAATGCATTCCGGTTCTAGTCTAATGGCCCACACTTCTAAATTACACTTTTAATTGAAAAACAACATGGAAATTTTTTTTAAAACCATCTGTGCTTTCCTGAGAACATGTGACTGCTACTGATAAATCCACTACTTTGCACATCCCAATCTTCCTGGTTAGGGTTCCAAAGCTTAGAAAATAATGCTGTTCTACAAAAACAGTACGTGATCAGAAACACTTCGTTTAAACTTCAATGTTTGGTGTGTGAAGCTTCTTAACAAGTGTTTATTAAACTGCATAATTTCACAGCCTGGAGTGGTATATTGCAATGTTTTTCTGGGAGTTGATCACATTTGCATATCATTTTACACTTCCTATGAAATTAACATTGCCTTTTGTATCTTGAGCTCAGCTAATATAATTTGCCATTTTTACTTTTCAATGCTAGGAGTAATATAGACAGTGAACCCCCAAAGGGACTCCTGCAATGCCTACATAAGCTTTATTCTCTCATTGTTACATTTTTTCATATGAATGCATTAAATCAAGATTAATAAACCTTTGCAAAATCTACTGGTCTTGCAAAATGGCAAGATTCATAATGGGAAAGATTTCCCAGCAAATAAAGAAAAAGCGCTCCAAAAACAGGAGCCAAAGGCCAGGGTTCACAGAGCTCTTGCCACTTCCAACAGCATGCCAGAGGGCCTTCACCAAGGATGCCAAAATGCAGCTGGTGATAATGTGACCTTCCCTCAAGAATACATCTTTGTCAGATGTTAAAATCTGGCCATGACTCCAGGATATTTAAAATTCCAGCTGGATCCTAGTTGGTTTAGCTCAGGGGATAGAGCTTCGGCCTGCAGACTAAAGGGTCCTGGGTTCAATTCCAGTCAAGGGCACATGCCCAGGTTGCAGGCTTGATCCCCAGTAGGGGACATGGAGGAGGCAACCAATCAATGATTCTCTCTTATCATTGATGTTTCTATCTTTCTCTACATCTCCCTTCCTCTCTGAAATCAATAAAATATATATTTAAAAAACAAAAATTAAAAATAAAATTCCAGCTGGGACACATGGGGGTAGGGATGGGATAATACTCAGAGAAAGAGGATGGTAGGGGCTGAAAAGAGGAACATCCCTAGAGGAATAGCTGAGAAGCTCCAAAATGGAAATCAAATGCAGAAAGGGGAAATCTCTGGAAATACCACTTAGACCAAGATGCCTTCCCTACTTATCTGCCTGTGGGGAGGAAAATAATTTTACCATGACCCTTCTGAGCTCCTGGCTGAGACCCTCCTGTAGTTAAAGGAGATTAGAGGGAGGAAAAAGTGTTATGTTATGTACATATCTATGGGAACTCCACAAATGCACAAGCCTTAAAAGGCAGCAATTGGATTGAGATTTATGTACCAGCCTGAGCTATGAAAAGGTCTTGGGTTTCAA